ATTAATAAAGGAGGGGGAGGACGGGACGGACACACGGGATAACCAGAAAAAACCCCAAATACAACACATACTTCTAGCAAAACCAAAGTCAATCTCTTCTCCAACTGACTAGGGACAATGCACGAACTTGCTTCATCTGTCTTAATCAAAGAAACAACTCTTACTCAAATTCTGAAAGAGATATATATCCATTCACTCTGGCTGATGATGCATGGATCATCCAATTGTAGCAGACATTAAAAAGAAAAAAAAAAGAAAGTTATAGTTCCTTAAAAAGGTCAGCATACTAACACAAGTAACTTGAAAATAAAGTAAATTTGCTAAGAGCGCATTTATACAGAACTGAGGTACAAACGGATTAAGGTAGTCACAGATTTATATGATTGTAGGCTGGAAAGAATACAAATGCTCTGTTTTTGAAAGTGTTAGAATACTAATTTTTCCAGCATGGACAGTGGCTGAACAGGCACTCATATCATTAATATTCAACAAAAGTGTTCCCTAATGAAAACAGAATTACTTTAATTAATACTTTTAAGAGAGTTCACAAATATGATACAGCACAACCAAAGAGTACAAGCAGTTATGTCAACAGAATCTGCCATGCCCCCACTGTGCCTGAAAAACCTGGAGACGTACCTGATTACTGCTTTTTGCAGCAGCGTTGGTCTGAGCTGTATTTGAAGAAAGGGAATCAAAAAAGGCTTGGTCAGCTAATGAGTTACCGCAGCTAATTCCATCTTTTGCACCTTCGGTTATAATCTGAAATGGAAAAAGTTGCAAAAGGTTTTCATGCTTTCATTAATCAAATGATGCTGTTTATCATGTATTATCACGCTAACATTCATGTCACTAGATGTTAAGATGGTTGCATACACCCTTTCTGAATTCAAATTGAACAGTATCTTTTACAAGAAGTTGATATGAGAATCTGGAGGATCTACTTCCACAAAAGATGGAATTGGTTTGCATTATCACAGCATAACATGCAAGACTGTTGTGGCAGTGGACACTTAACAACCTTGTTAATCCCCAATGAATTTATAGTTAACATTACTGCTTGGAGACTAGGAACTCAATACTCAGAGGATCGGTTTGGGACAGCAAATTTGGAGAGCCAAAAGCTACTAGACCATGAGCTAGCCAAGCAAAGACAAAAAACAAGGTTATGTAGACAAGCATCCACCCTCCACCCTCTTTTTTTTTTTTTTTTTTAAACAAACACAGCACTGGTGAAAGAATGGAGATGTACACCTAAGAGGCTGCAGAAACTACAGACAAGAGTCTTCACCTAACTGACAATCTGCAGACACATAGATGCTGGGCCCTCCAAGAGTGAACTGCATTCCAGTCTTTGCATTGACTCCCCCGTTCCATCCCCACCCCTGCATCACCAGTCTTCAAACAAAGAGCAGATCAACACACATGGAAGCAAAGGCCCTCAGGAAGGTGGTGAGCTGAGTAGTTCCTGGATTTGGGATCCCATATCCTAAGCCCCAGAAATGGGGTTCCATTCCAGAGATTTATGAGCATGTGGTAAACCAGCCACAGCAACCAGTTTACACTTGCATTAATCATTTCACTTCCATATCTGTATCTTCAGAAGGAAAACAAAACAATCATTGGATCATGAGACCCCCCAAACCCAGAAGCAGACTCAAAATAGCTCATGTTCTACAGATCACCAGTATTTACTAGAGACAACTGGTTGCATTTCTTGGGGCACCATTGAGAAGCACAGTAGCTTTGGATGGCATGTTTGCACTGGTCTCCAAAGCCAGCTACAGTTTAAGATTATATATTCCAAGCTTTAACACTGGGAGGTTTATGTTTGAGCATTACAGTCTGATCAGCGAAACAGAGGATGGCCTTTTCAGTAGTTCTGCTTTCTTAGTGCAGAGCAGTGTACTCACTCACCTCAACATAATCTGTTGGAACAAGTCCTCTCTCGCCTTGGCTGTTTTTTCCTTCTAACCAGCCTCCACCGACATCCTAAAAAAGTAATAATATAGAAATAGTTTTGCTAGAGGGATCCCACAGCATGCTTTAAAGAGCTCAGGAGGAAGTACTGTCTTGCTGTCAAATGCAATGTTCGAAATGCAGTTATGACTGATCATGAAAAAAATTGCTTCAATCTGCTGAAGCAGCAGGTACTCATTTAAACAGAACACAGACCGTACTTGTTTCCCCACAGCTATTGCAGACTTTAAATTTAACAAGCGCGAGGGGAAAGAAGGTTGATTTTCAGCACTTTTGATCATTTATGAAACCACAGTCAATTGTCTGGACACAGACTGCATCAAAACACAGCTATTAGTATGCCAATTCAAAAGCCTTAATTTTATTCAACAGATTATAAAGAAACAAGACTCAAGGAATTACGCTATCAGTAATACCTGTAAAATCTCTGCTTCACTTATTGAAAGTGCAGGGGGGTGTGATGAGTGGGAGCTATAACCCACAAGAATATTAAGGATAATCTCAAAATTAAGAGAGGTACATGCCATGCAAGATCTGGAGACACTCTTTTTAGTTTACATTTAATTTCAGAGGCAGGTCTCACGCTATTAGTTTGGAAAGAACCACACAGTACAGCTATGATCTCAGTGCTGTTATCGTTTGGAGTTTTAAAACACATACCCTACACACACTAAGAAACCTTTGCAGTTAAGCAAAGTCAATTCCAGGACAACATTATCTGGAATAAGCCAGTTCTGTTTTAAACCAAGCTGTTCCTTGAACACAGTTACATGTCAAATTAATTCACAGCTGAAAACTGGAATCACATATGCTAGACAGCAATTATTAAATTTCAGGGTTTCTTAATTTGCTTTTTAAGGGATGCATTTGTTTATTCACAATTCTGTTCTTTCACTTGGAAGTTTTATGTAATCCTGCACATAGTAAGCAGAATTCTGCTTCTGTATTCAAGATTTTAAACAGTAAAGATAAATCAGTTATTTCAATAACAAACTTGCATTTGCTTTTTCTTATGTACCTAAAAGCTTACACTCAAGAACACAGAAACAACTAGGTATCTCAGATCATAAATTCAACTAGCTTGGTTAAACTGCAAGAGCAATGACATCTTGAGCCAGAAGTCACATTTGCACCTCCGCACTTAAGAGCGGTCATCAATGGACTTTAAGGACTTATGTTACTGCTGTCTAAACTTATCATATCAAAAAATATCAAGAGCCTTTGTGGCAATCTATCCCACAGTTTAATCATGGACACCATAAAATAAAAGTTTTACTTGGTTCTAAGTATATTGCCTTAACACAGAGATGCCTTGTTCAGCAAGAACTAGCTTAAGTGGTAAACTATTTATTTAGTCCTACTTTTCTGAAATGCCATTAAACTCCTGGACTAATTTAAAATGTTACCACTACCACAGGATAGTACCCTATCCAAGAGGGTGCTGGTTCTATTAAATATCTGCTTCAAATATTTAAGGTCAGTGGAACTAAAAGTTATCAGGATTATACATGACCAGGCTCTTCAAAGATTTAGTTAATTCTGCAGAACTCATGTTTCCTATATAACCAAATAAATAAAACCTGGCATCAAGATCAGGCATTTTTTGTTTATATGTGTTTTAAAAGGAAAGTTTATTCACTGAACCATATCACTGCACAAAAATTAAACGCAGAATCAACTAACGCTTACCTTGTTACCAAGGGTAAGAGTTAAACAGTACAATAAAAGCACGCTCAAATTCAAATTGTACATGCAAATCGAATGCCAGTGCTCAAAAGAACTATTAATTCAAGAACTCCCTGATAGTATTACCACAGTATTTTCACCACTCCTTCCCTGTACCTTGCCCATATTGCTCTAATTACAAAAGGACACAAAAATTATTAACAAATTTTATCGCAAGTTCTTTTGAACAAACTTGGAATGCTGAAGTCATTTATTAAGAAACTCAAAACCAAGAACAGAGCTTGCATGTCAGATTTAAATGCAAGTGGCAAGCACCTGAAAGACCACATACACACAAGATGTGGAACATTAGGCACACAAGAAGAAAAGACAACACATTCAGATGTAAAGGGTATCACCATCATTAGCTCCCTCCTTTGCCTTGGCACTCAGCTCTATTTAGAGGGGAACAAAACTGAGCAAATTCCCGCATGTAGCTAGCACAATGTGAGAGGGCCCCTGTCCTCCAAAACTGCTCATTGCATTTGTTTCCACAAGACTATTGGAAAATTGTTTGTATTTAGTTTATTTGCTAATTCTTCAGGGGAGGGTTGCCAGGGCTTTCAGATGTCACCTAGCACATTTTTTCTTCCATCTGCTAGAAGCAGGCCAGGAAAGTGCACTGCAGCACTGGTTCCATTTTGGTTTTCTTACCGGGTTGGTAATTACGATGATCTCCCCTTCACTGACGGTCAGCTCGTTGTTTCCAGGCTCAGCAGCAAAATCGTACATAACACGAGCCTGTATGTGAAAAAGAATATAGCAGTGAGCCTTCCAACGCATTTAGAAGATTTCATGAAGGAAGTATCAGTACGACTTAAGAATAAGTAGCAGAAATACTACTATTGGGGTAAGAAAGGCTGGATGTACAAAGAGCAACTCAGCATGTAGGAAACTAACATGTCCTAAATTTGAACTCCAAACTGAATGCTAAGGCAAACTTTACAAGATGAAAATCCCCTGTGAAGCTTGTTAGAGATGATAATTATTTTCCAGGAAGATTCACCGTTTAAGACTGGCTGTTCTCTGCCATGTCCAGAACTATCTGTACAATTTTTTCCAGGGGAAGAAGAATAGGCTTCTAACTTAGCAAACAATCCAATTAATATTTTTTTTCTACAAGACCTATTCCAACTCCAATTGGGATAAAGGGAACTGTTTCATAAGACAATTCAGAAAAAGAAAAACAAGTAATTGCAGATGTAAGTGACCACTGCTGTACATAGAAAGTAATATGTAAAATTATGTTTTGAGGTTTTTTGCATACAGGAGGAACTATGCAAATACACAAACAGTGAGAGTAGGCCTGTTACATATTGGCATGAAGGGAGAAGGAAAACCAAATCCAACCTAATTTTTAAGTGTTTAGACACACAAGGCTTTTCTGTGCACTAACTCTGCTACTACACTACATAAAGAAATATTACGTTTGAAACACTGACAAGGTTGTCTAAAGAACAGTTCTGCTTCTTTATACAAAGAATTGTGATATGGCCTATGATTATAATCCCAAATATCTTTTCATTGTCTTCTATTAAATTCCTTTCCGATCCAAAAGTAGAGAAAGATCTCAGGAATTACAAAGGGACTATATTTTCCACAAACTGTTGAAATGGATGCAGAGAGAAACCACATATATTTTCCACTTCACTCAAAGGAAGATCTAGAATCAAAGTTTTCGGTTTCTATTTAAAGTGACATATTTAGATAAACTTTACATCTGACTGCAATAAATCCTTTATCTAAGCTTCTCTTCCCCTGAAAGAAAACTCACGACACTAATAGAACTATAAAAGATAAAAGCCTTATTATTTACACCTCAAGTCCTTATGTTACTAAGATGCCCCAGAGTTAATTAATACATTATATATACGATTGATGCCAATGCTGAAGTATCAAAAAGCAGCAAAGGGAAAGCTAGACTACAGGTCAGGAAAGGCAAACAGAAAAAGCATAGGTTTTAACAGACAGTACTGACAGTTATAACAAAAAGCTTTTCTTGCACAACTAAAACAAGCAGCTATAAACTCAATTCCGGGGGAGGGAGGGGAAGAAATAATATTTAGTAGCTTGAAGTTTAGGAGACAAGTCATTTTTAAGAGTAAAGTTATGAAGATTTACAGTTGTAATATGAAGGCGTCAAAGGTTGTTACGCCTGCTATAAGATTTAAATTAAAAAAAAATAAAACCAACTCTAGATTACATCATAGCCCTTACTTCTCCAGCTCATAGAGGATTAAAAGCAGCAGAAAGTTTGTTTTAGGAAACACACTAATTTCCCTAGCGCATCTTGAAAGAGGGAAGGCTACAGTCTCATCTTCACCAGTAAGAAATATGTTTTAGTTACCTCAGGTCATACAGAAGTGGGCTTTGTTTCTGCAGATAAAAAAACTAAATCCAAGAGAAAAAATTTTAGAAAGGTGTTATACTAACAACGTCACACACTGAGTACAGCAATGAGGTCCTTCTTGTACTTAGAGGTCAGGGGAAAGAAAAAAAACCCAACCCCCTAACTGTTTCTGCCATAAAGATGACAGTATAATCGTGATTTCTGTTGAAAGCAAGTTATTGTATTTTTTTCCTATTACATAAGACAGACATTCATCATCAAGCCTTGCCTGTCTCAAAATTGCAGCTTATGACCCCCACCTAGATATCTCTTTTTCTGACATAAACCCAGAAAAAACACAACTACCCTTTCCCACATTTTAGTTTCCTACGTATCATGTAGAAATACTTCTGGCTGGTCAAGAGATATTTTACTTTGGTGTAAATAAAAACAGAGCTGAGAAAAAAAAAAGTTATCATTCAGCTGACAAAGCTAATGCCAAGTCACAACAAATTGCTTGGTCTTCTCCACTAGAGAAGCACAGCGTTGAAGAAAAGTCCCAAGCACTCTGAACGGTTCCCTGCTTTTCCCTTAGAACTAAGGCTTTCAGCACTCTCAGATTATGCCGTGCAAAACCAAGATGAAGAGGAGAAAACTGCTTTCAATAACAACACTGACTGCTTTCCTTCCAGCAGAAAATCAGGACTCCATGCAAATATAAGAATAAGCTGCCTTACTTTCCTTAAAAAGTAAACTGAAGAGAAGTAACATACCTTTTGAAATACAAGAACATTTTAAGTAGGGGTGTTCAAAGCACCACCCTCCAGGCCTCTCCCCTCAGCAGCAGTAGATGAAGGTGTCAAACGTCCTTTTTACAGCAGGTTACTAATACTTATCCAGAATCAGCAAGTCAATTTAACAAGGCTCAGATGCTAGGCATCTGAACCATGGGGAAAGCAGCCTTGTTAACCAGGGAGCCTTCCTCAAGTAGTACACCATAGTATTAAGTTTCTTGCTTTTATTCACAGGAATGATGAGAGTTCACCAGGACAAGGGCAGATTTTACCAGCCTTCAGGAAACCTGGCAAAATATCCCACAGTAATAACCAGACTGGAAAGGTAAGATATATTTGTATCTAATAAGAGAACAGACACAAATACTAGGTTCTCCACATGTAGCAGGGAAATAAAGTTACTCAGAAAAATCTGGAAGTATTCAGCTGTATGGAAGGAAAGCAAGAGAGATACATAGAAATTAATAAAGTCATCTTGCCAAAGTCTATCTATTCACCTGCTCTGGATTCCTGTTTCAAAAGTTGTTAAAAAAAGTAGAAGAGGGGGAAAAGTTACAAAGAAACCAAATGATTTTTGCCTTACTGCTGTTAAAGAAACTGAAAAGAAAAAAGATTCTCAATATTACAGACATGGATTATTACAGAGCACTAAGCAGTTGAAGTACATCTGTAACCTGATCCATATATTGACATCTCAAATACATTCCCCAGATTTTTTTGCTGGTACTCTCCGTTTCACTTGCATTTCTGGGCTTATTTGCCTAGTTTGGGAATTAAGTCCCTAAGAACTCCTGGCAAGTAAGCTTTAAAGCTACCCACCTAATATTGAGATTTAATGGGAAAAATAGTATAAACTCAACCAATTCCAAAGTGAAACTAAGTGACTAAATGTTTTCCCTCAATTTAATAACCATATTGTTAACAATGGAAAATCCTCCCTCTAGCCCTTCCCGGGGCAGGGGTATAGGGGCCCAATTCTATTTACATTTTTGACAATCAGTTCCAAAATACTATAAAAAGGAAAATGGTTTGGTTTTGCAATAAACTTTTTCCTACTTAGTGGCCACAAATATTACATCCAAGTAGCAGTTATGGCTTACAGTTAAATCTTTGCCACTTACGCAAAATAGCACGTGGGCACAGAGAAAAGAAAGCATTTAACCAGAAAAGGATTTTAGCTCCTGGGCACTGCAACACAGGTCTAAACTTACGGACATGTTTAATATTTATAAAATTGGAATCTCTGACAAATTCCAAAGATCACAGAATGAGCACCACAAAGGCAATTTCTTCAAAACACAGATTTAAAGAAAACAAGACTTGTTATAATAACCGTTGGGCTTCATATTTACTTCTGATCATATGTAAAAGGATCAAACAATCCAAGAACTACAGGAACTTCAGAGATTCAAACAGTTAGTTAGTGGAAGAAAGGCCATTGCTTCATTTACAGAATACTGCAAATTCACAAAACAGGTAAGAGTTGCTAATCAAGCTATTAGCTATAGAAAATCAGTTTCTTTTACTGGCTGCACTTACTTCTTCCCGCTTCCCCCACGATAGAACTTGTTCTGGATTCTGAAGTTGTTTTGTCAGATCCTTTGAGAAAAAGGATTGCTAACTCAAAAAGTTTAAACAGATTCCACTGACCAGAAAGCAGACTGGTCATCGTACTGTACGCCTACTGCCTCCCTTTGCTCTGGTGGCAGTGGAGCCTCCCGCATCTCCATTGGGAGTTTGTAACACATCGTGACGTTCGTGCTCCCTCACGTGAGAAAAGGCCGGCATGGATTAAGCAGAACCCCAGCACAACGCATGCCAAGGTAGGAAGGGCTCTCTGATCCCTGGTGTCTCCGCAGCTCTGGCATATATTGCAGTTTTTCTGGAATGAGAGGGAGCCAACAGTTTTCTCTACAAGTTGAGCACAGGGGGAAACCAGTAAGAATTCCTCCTTGTTAAAGTAAAATGAGCTTTTCAGCAGTATGGTTATAGACATTTAGATTGAAATAAGGAGAAGAAAATAGAAAAGGAAAGCGGTAATTCTCAGTGCTACATCAGCATTCTTTAGAGCTGTTTCTACCTGCTGTAGTTACACATCTGGACTGTGGTTTCCCAATTTACAGATTTACTGATTTATTACAGTGTGAAGCCTCTCAACTTCTAGAAATTCTAAGCATTGCAATCAATCACTGTTACTATCTTTTCAGAATGATAACAGTAATCATGCCTAAGCATATTAAAACACAAAAGATTCTTCACATTGAAAAGCAGTACCTAGATCAGCAAAAGCATTATTCTTCTGCAGACCTGGAGCACATTTAGCTTTTCTCCATTACTTCTGTCTGAGCAGAGTACCTCTTCCCAACATATTAAAAACCAAGAGAAAAAATATAACAAGAGCATTTGCCAACTTATTTCTGCAAGCAGACATAAGACTTTGCAACTAGATCTGTCAGTGTGTCAAGACTCTTAGCATAAATTAAGTGCAAAGGAAGTTGGATAAGTCATTAAAATAAAATTCCAGTGAAGGATTACATTATCACTACACTAAGTTATTAGAAAAATTTCCAAGATATCTACAGACATCCTGATGGACTGGCTCTTCTGTATTTCC